ATATCGATCACATCTGCCCAATGCCTTGTAACTATACATTGTCGTGCGGCAAACATAAATGCGACCAGCCCTGCCACCGCGGCAACTGTCCGCATTGCTATCGTAGCTCCTTCGAGGAGCTGTACTGTGAATGTGGTGCCGAAGTTATCTATCCGCCAGTGCCTTGCGGCACCAAGAAGCCAGCCTGCAAGCGCCCATGCTCACGCGCGCATCCTTGTCAACATCCACCACAGCACAACTGTCACTCAGCTGCCAATTGCCCACCGTGTATGATGTTCACCACCAAATGGTGCTTTGGTCAGCATGAGCAACGCAAGACCATACCGTGCTCACAGGAGAGTTTCAGTTGTGGCTTGGCATGTGGCAAGGCGTTGCCATGTGGTCGCCACAAGTGTATCAAAACATGCCACGAGGGTGCATGCCAAACTGCCGGTGAGGTATGTAAACAACATTGCACCAAGTTGCGTGCCACCTGTGGCCACAAGTGCATGTCGCCATGCCACGATGGTGACTGCCCGGATACACCATGCAAGGAAATGGTAAGTGTGGGCTGTTAAGAGCAATATTGCATTTTCATAACATTTCCCCTTCATTGTTTTTTTTTTTTAGGTTGAAGTCCAATGCGAATGCGGCAATCGTAAGCAGATGCGTTTATGCCACGATTTGGCACGTGAATTTAGTCGCATTGCCACTGCCCAATTAGCTTCGTCAATGGCCGAAATGCAGCGCGGCAATTACATGGAACTGAGCGAAATACTCGCTCCCGTTAAAATCAATAAGACAAATAAAACGTAAGTAAAAGAAAGCTTTATTAGGGGTGATTTGAAGCATTTGAGGCTATTGATTTATATGTATATAAACAGTTAAGATTAACTGAAAAGGGAGGAAAAGGACCTTTCCCACGACTTCCTGGAAATTTTTGAAAAGGTTAATCACGCCATGCTACTAGAAGACAATCGAAAACACACAAAATGGCTTTTGTTGCGTCAGTTCACTCAATGTGAATAACCATCCGTGGATTCGCAAGGTCAAATTTTTAAATGCAGGAAAATTGACGACCTACTCCCGCTTTTCCTTCTTACTTCTGCAAATTTTTTTATATTTTTTTTTGGAAACTTTTAACAAAATGATGCAACAAATTTGTTTAACTTTAAAGTTGAACTGTGTAAAAGTACGGTCCTAAATATAAAAAAAATACTTGTGGTCCGTATGCTTCCGGTTAAGGAACATAACGAGCTCCTCTCCAAGCAGTTTCTCCTGGTATGTTTTCGTAGAAACCACCCCTGCAGTCGACTGCTTGAAGCGGAACCGCCTCCTAGAAACAGCAAGATGTCGATTCTTGATTACGTCGACGATATTGGACAGTACACCGACCAGACTTCGGACGCAACGAACTTTAGACATGCACTGACCGCCATTCACAAAGGAGCCATCAGCAACTAACTCTCAGTGAATGGCGTACTTGGAGTCAAACCACCAGCCATCGCAGACGAAGAGCTCCAGTTGCCACGAAAATCTAGAGTAGCCCTTACGCAACTTGGTTCTTTCGTTTCCTGGGCCTCCCATTAGATCACCTGGACGACAAACAAACTGAAACTTACCACCCTAGCGGGGATTGGGTAACCGTTACAACAACAACGGTCCTAAATAACCCGGAAAGAGACCGATAATGTTGTTTTTTACAAATGTACTAATTAATGTTTGGGTAAAAGAAGAAAACACGTTAATTTCGGATATATTGAAGCTTTAATACCCTTCACAGATGTAAATTTTATAACAAAAAAGAGTCCTTATCCTTTTTTTAATCTGTCAGCTATATGCTACAGTAGTTCGCTATAAACAATATGTTCAGAGCGTTGTTGTAGCGATGCCGTGGATAATAATCTGTACAAAATTTCGTGGAGATACCTTGCCAAACTAAAAAGTTTTTCATATAAGGACTTGGATTTGAGCGGTCAGTTTGTATGACAACTATATGCTATAGTAGTCTTATATTGGCGATGCCAATAAATAAGCAACTTCTTTGTTAGAAAAGAAGGTGTACAAAATTTCAGATCGGTATCTCAAAAACTGAGAGACTAGTTCACGTATATACAGAGAGACAGACGGACGGACAGACTGGCCTGATAAATCGACTCAGCACGTCCCGTTGATCGTTTATATATATACTTTATAGGGTTGCCGATGTTTCCTTTTGGGGTGTTACAAACATCGTGACAAACTTAATATATCTTGTTCAGGGTGTAGTGACATAAATAGCCCGTTCCAATGCACGAATATTTTATTACAATATCTTAATTATGTATTTTCCTTCTTGTTCTATATTTCCAAATACAGCCTGGATTGCAATGAAGAGTGTCGTTTGCTCGAACGCAATCGTCGCCTAGCTATTGGCCTGCAAATCCGCAACCCCGATGTGCCGCAGAAATTACAAACCAAATATTCAGATTTTATACGCAATTTTGCTAAACGTGATCCAGCTTTGGTCAAGTCCATACATGATGCTCTAACCACGTTGGTGAAGTTGGCCAAGGAAAGCAAGCAGAAATCACGTAGTCACTCGTTCCCAACAATGAATCGAGAGAAGCGACAGCTGGTGCATGAAATGTGCGAAATGTTCGGCGTCGAATCGGTTGCCTACGATGCAGAACCAAATCGCAATGTGGTAGCTAATGCTTACAAAGACAGGGTGAGTATGATGATTAATATTTATTATTTCCACTTTTTATTTTAAACTTTCACCTGTTTAGTCCTGGTTGCCAGCCACTAGCATTATGGAGGTTATGCAGCGCGAAGCCGGCCAGCGTCGTGTGCCGGTACCAAGCAACAATACCTGGGGCATTAAGAGATAGAATTTTTTCCTATTAACAAATGTGTAGTGAATGCGTATGCAACATGCAAGTGTAACGTTGAATAAATCGTTTGAATGTATGCCGAAATACACTAAACAAAATACAAAATACAAAAAAAAAAAACATACAACAACATACAGAGAAACTAAAACAAAAAATGAGACAAACATTTATCTAAAACAAAAAAAAAGAAAACATTGAAAACATAAATAATCTATTCTAAAATTACAACATACAAATTTAAACAAAAACAAAAAATGCTGCACTAAACATACAAATTACAAAATACCACTTTAAATTGATTGAAGTTTAAAGCAAATTGCAAAAACACAAAAAAAAAATTATTTACAATTACTATATGTATATCTATCTAATTTGCTCGTATTATATTTCCAAAAAACACCAAAAAAAGTTTTTTGAACTACTGTCAGTGTTTCTTAATATTTTGTACTACTACCAGGCAACTACCACTTTTAATTTTGCTTCTAGAAACTTGCACATGGATATCTTCTAATAATTTTCTTTTTATTTTCATTAATATTTACAATTTGTTTCTGAGTATAATCATTATTTTTATTTACGAGACAATACTACATTAAAAAATACATACATATACATTAAATACGGTGGAAGTAGAATGTGAGTTAATAAATAAATAAAAATTCTTCAGCGAAATACATGTGAAAGATTTGTACACAAAACAAAACAAAAAGAAATAAATATGAGTAAATTGTGAATGAATCGGCCGTATGAATCCATAATATATTCCTGAATGTAATGAGAAATCAAATTGAATAAAGTTGTTTATTAATATGTATGAATTGCGAACATAATAAAAAAAAAATTGCGTTTTATTTATGCATTCTCCATATTATGGCGTTAAATTTGCAGTTGTTGGAAGAGAGGGCCTAAAAGATTTGGTTGCATTCAGAATATAATTGAATTAACATTTGAAATACAATAATTTTTTTTTTCGAAATGCCCATGACCTTAAAAATTATTTTTAGATTTTTAAGTCCCAATGCCTCAAGCCCCCAATTGAAAAAATGAGATTTTAATCCCAAATACCGAATTGAATAATAAAAAATAAAATTTGTTTCAACTTTAAGCTAACCTAATAGCGCTGTAGAATAATTCGCCGTCTTTTTCAACTCGTTGACTGTTTTTCGAAAAGCTGGGTGCAATTTTGACATTATTATTATAATAAATTGCAGTCAGGAATTTTAAATATAATTTCTTTAATGTTGATTAGAATTAAATTTACATACATCACTATGTTCGAAAACCGTATCGTTCTTAAGTAAATTTTTCACTAAAAGATCCAAGGCTCTTTCTAAAATTTCAAAATTCGCCGCAAATCCAAAGAATGAATTTTAATGAAAGTGAAAATAGCAAAAATTACCGTTGTGATGCCGTACTCGATAAAAGATATGTGTATATGGTACAGTGTTGCCAAAAATAATAGAAACATACTTGTTGCATCTGTTGCCTTCGCATATTTCCTACAGAGCTGTAGTAATATATTTAAAATTTTTTTTTTAACATATACATATGGATGTTTGTATACGATTATACTTCATTATAAAATATATAACGATTTTCTTTAGATTTTCAATTAACAAAAAAATTTCCTGTTTTGCTTGGAAATGGAAATTGCGCTTAAAGCAAAGAAACTCTAGATTTTTTCAAATTATCTATTTCTGAAAACATTTCTTAACATTCTTCTTGGGGACCATATCCTGCATGAATTTGGAAAGACTATGAGTTGCTTTGCGAAAGACAGTCTTTTTACGATATTTGTTTTGCTTAGGACTGGCACTTTCCTAGCTGCGTCTGCCTTCAAATCCTAATCACTTAGTCGATTCCTTTTTGCACGACTGTCGACTGACATACATACATTTGTACGAATGATGGATTTTTTCCAAAAGGTTAATCTAAAAATTTCAAATCATCCAGATGTAGTAAACAAAGAAGAGTACTTGCACGGAGAATATATGTACATATATATGTATATGCCTGTATTTACATATATTAATATTTTTTATTAATATATTAGCCAGAAAATACATTTTTCATTTTCTAAAAAAAAATTTAAAAAAAATGTAATTAAACAATGTACAATAATTACAATTAAATTAACTCATTTATTCAAATGCTTATTCGTATACAATAAACATAGTCCATAAAGTGTTAATTTGTGTATCTCGTAGATACTTTTCCACAAGCATACGAAGACGCAAATGCGACAACACGACACAACACACACGTTATACGTTCATGTAATTCCAGCGTGCAACACTAGCTTTCTCACTTACACCACTGCTACCGTTACGAGAAAAATACATAAATATCTCGTGCTGGAGCTGTTGCCGCTTTCCAGGAAGAAGAGTGTATCCACAAGTGTGCAAAATATTGTTGTTTGAAAACGTAAGCGGGCAGTGGGACGGTGGCCAAGTCAACCGAAGTGCATCGGTGTCGTTCTGAACTGGCGCTGATCTGAGCAGAGGCAAGAAAATCTCAGTTGTTTCGGAAAATTGAAAGCGTTCGCTTGTGTTAAGTGCGCAAAGTGTGCGGTTTTGTGCTAAAGAAAGGTTTTGCCGTGTTTTAACGGGGACGTAGACGAAGACGAGGACGACGTCGTCGGTGGTAAACGGTGGGTAAACAGTGAACGCCAGTGTATGTGTGTAGCGGCGTCAAAGCCAAATATAACCAATAATAACAATAAGAATAAATTTAAAAAATATATATGGATATAAGCATGTGCATTAGTGAAGAACAAGAGCTGTAGCGGACGTACATAGTTGGATAAATGCACATATATACGTATGTACATATGTATGTCTGTCTGCTTGGGTCTCTCGTTGGTCGCGACGGTTTGTGTGCGTGCGTCCAAACATTTTTTTCGTGTTGATTTTCATTAGGATTCATTTCGACGAATTTCTATATGAGATTTCTCTTTCGAGCCAATGATTATATGTGAATTGTCGCCAGACAAAAGTTTTGAAAATAAAATACCTGGTTGGCACAACGTGTGTGAGTTTTGTGTGTTTTGGATACAGCAGCTTCACCAATCACATGCATTAGTTGGCACCAGCTGGAGCAACATTTTTTGTGTATAATTAAATGAGTGTACCAAGCAGGATTCTGGTGAAAAATATACATTTTCTCAACAGAAAATTCTGACAAATATTTAAAAAATGTATTTGTGTCGCAAGTGCAACAAATAAGTGTGAAAATGTACGCAACTCAAAGCAGTTAAAGTGCCGAAAATTGCATTAAAAAGTGTAAACGCAAATTGAGTTTATAATAGTGAATAAAAATTCTTCTAAAACCAAATAAATAATGTTGCGTTAAAAAATTTGTATAATAAAACAAAATCAAAAAAAAAAAATAAAAAAAAAACGCACGAAAATATCCTGTTTAGATTTAGGTAATAAACAACACGAAGTGTCCAACGTTTTCTCAGCTTATACCAATTTGTTTTCTTAGTTTTACTCTTTCCACTATTCAGCTGTTTGGGGGGCAGGGGGGCCTTCAAATATAACGCTGAGACATGCGCATAAATACGCAATTGCCATTAAAATAAATAAGTAAAAATAAATAAATAAAAAAACAACAACACGCAAGAGCGACGGCATTAACAATAATTGGCACAACAATGTTTGAGGCAATTATTTAAAAGAGAAACACTTTCACAGTGATCTGCACCTATTAAAAGTTCTAAAATTTTAAACAAACTGTCTGCATGTAACCTTTTATTGACTTCCTTTGTAAATTCGCTGAAAACCTCTGTTTATTTCTTACTAAGCAATCATTTGCCTTTGGAATATTTTATTTTAGATTGGGCAAAAAGATGTTTACATATGTTTGTATGTAAATATGTCTGCATGTACATTTGTCGTAACGACTTCGGCCGCAGCCAACAGTCGTTAGGTGCTGTATTTGTGCATTGTTATGCTCTGCAACGTAGCCATTGCGATAACAGAGACTGCTAACCCTGCAGCACATTTGTACTGCAATCTGTTCTGCCGGCATCGCTGCCAGCTGTAACTTTGACGTTGGTAACGCAGTAGTTACTTCTGTTAATAAAAAAACAAAATCATTTTAAACAAGCAAAATTTAAGTTATTTAATTAAGTTTATTTATATTATTATATTTATATTAATGTGTGGTTAAATTCAACTTCATCTACAAATTATTTGTAATCAAACTTTGTTATATTTGTTTGTTGCAGCGCTGCTTGGCTTTTGCTGCAGCTCCGTCTGTATTTGGTAAATATTAGCTGTCATTGACAACAGATGCAAACTCACATTGGCGCTATCAGCTACTGTGTGCTTCTCTCTCTATCTGTCGGTATCTTTGCCTCTATTCCTCTCTTGCTGCCTCTTGCTCTTTTACTATTTATCTGCGAATGAAAAAGATAGCTACTCAATGTTATATATTTTAGTGTTGTTTTGTTGTGAATTAGATTGGAAAATGGAAAATAAAATATATGTTATGAATACTCATACTTTATTTTACAATTTATTCGCTTTTATTTGGCAACCCTTCGACAGTAAGTTGATTAGCCTCACCACTAACTGAGTAGTAGCAATGAATGGAGGGTTCTTGTTGATTAAGCCAGATGTTTTGTTGCTCAACGTTTGTGCAGTAGCATTCAAGATAACCAAATATTAGAATGTGTAGTATTAATATATACATATATAAATATATGTATGTATGTATGTACTTATATGAAGTTATCACAGCTGCAGTTAATATAAATAGGAAATGATGTGGATATTCATATTAAAGTTGTATATAACCATGTACTCGTAAATACAGCCCATAGAAAGTAATTAGAAACAACAACAGAATAATTTGGTCATCAGTTTATGTTAAATATACATAAATACATACATATATGGTCAACGCTCACAAATTCGAAGCGCTATGTTTTTAAGGTGATTCTAATTTCTAGCATTTTTTGCTTGTTTTTATTTGTATACAACCAAAAATATTAAATAAATTTACTTCAAATAACAACAATTAAATTCTTTTTATATTAATTCCTATTATTAAAAAGAAGAAAACAAAAGGTAACAATACAGTACTCATCATATTTATGTTCTTTTTCAATTAAATCAAAAATAGATGCAGCAAAACAAAACATAAAGATTCACTCCAATTATTGCATTAAATATATTTTGTCAGCTAAAATTAAATCGATATGCTGGAAACAAAAACTGATGATTTGGAAAACCATTCATCACTTGAACCAAATGCATTGGCGCCTTTTTTGGGATATTCTTTTTTAAATATTTGTTTGGCTTTCTCTTTTAGTATTGGCCCAGTAAATGTAGACTTTTTAGCGTTAGTATAAAAACCACTTTTAAAGAAATGTATTCATTTTTGGATATTCAGCGATGTGCGATGCTTCTTTTTTTGCCGCATGCTAAGTGTTAGAAACATTATTTAAAATTGATCCCCTACATGCAAAAACAACGAATACCGAATAACACAAATAAATTGGGAATTCCCCTTTTTCGATTTGCGCATACAAAATATTAGCCAATTATCGATAGCAAGAAACAAACAAAATATATCAAACATTCGAATTTTTCTTTCTAACTTCAGAACGTTTAATGTATTGAAAACTCTGATTCTAATTTCTGTCAATTCTAATAACTGAAGGTTTTAATTTGTGAGCGTCGACTGTTTTTAAAATTTTGCAAGGCAGCTTTTTTAAATAATTTAATCTGCTATATTTGTTATTTTTAAAACATTATGAGGCCTTGATTACTTGTACCAATCTGATACAAATTTATATATTTCAGCTCTGTTTTTAAATGAATAATAATAAATCATAATAATAAATAATAATACATTTAGTAAGGTTAATATGAGGCTTGAAAATTGTGATGGTTAATTCTTTGTAATTATCGCCCAAAAATGGGCGATGCACTCGCGCCCAATTCCGTCTTTGTCTTATTCTAAAAGGCCCCTTCTTCGGTTTTTATACCCCGAACAGGGTATATTAAGGTTGCCACCCGGAAGGAAGACCCTATAAAATATATATGTACCTATATAAATGATCAGCATGATGAGCTCTGTATGTACAATATATAAATGATAAGGATGATGAGCTGAGTCAATTTAGTCATATCCGTCTGTCTGTATATATGCGAACTAGTCCATCAGTTTAGTTAAGATATCTATCTGAAATGTTGCATACGGTCTTTTCTCCCCTAGCAGCTGCTCATTTGTCGGAACCACCAATATCGGATCACTATAGTGTGACGAACACGAACGATAGAAAAAAATCGAATCGACGATAAATTGCCAGAAGTAACTAGATACCGAATTCGTAGTTGCCAGACTGTTCTAGAGGCGAAGTTTTGTTAAACATGTACTATATAAGGGCATCCAGATTGTGTAGCACACACGGTTCTAGTTAGAGTGTTACGAGCAATAAAGATATAAGCAAGAAGTTGTAAGCTCGTATAATTAGTAGTAAAGCGTTAAGTTGTTGGAATTAGAAATAAAGATAGGTGTATAGCCATTAAATTGGGACTTTTATTTAACAATCCAGTGATCGAACTCAAGAGTGAGTTATAGGTAGACGATTTCTCGCGAACACCGTTACAATAGTACATACCTGTTCAACAAGCTCAACGACTAAAATCAAGTTCTTGTATGGAAACTTTTTTATTTGTGAAAGGTATTATAGCTTCGGTGCAACCGAATTTAACGTTTTTTCTTGTACTTGTCACACATAGTAAGGAAAAATCTTTTTCTAACTTACTTAAAATTAATAAATCTTAAAAATACGGCTTTTCACTAAATTATTTAGTTGTCCATATAGTGATTTCGTTGTTTTATGCCATCTATTTTGAGTATCTTCAAGCTCACAGATCTATTAAAGAGTTACTATATTAATAAATTTATCTTTATCTAAATGTACATACATGCTTGCCTTTATTTGATTACGACATTTTCAAGCGCCAATCAAAATTTAAAACCACTCATTTGTAATTACGAGCTCTTTGAAAAAATCGCCAACTTCATTTCCAACTTCACAGGTTTTATACTTTATTCATCGCCTTCTTTTGCGTTTATTCCTTCATAACCACATTTTCCAACATTCAAAACATTGATGCTGTTGCTTTTGCTTTTATATATAAAAAAAAGATAACTATGTTATGATCGCTGCTATGGATGTCTCCCTTCAGCAATTCTTATTTTGCGCTGCGCACTAATTCGCAACAACGAGTGAGTGAGTTTTCTTATTGTACTTTACTCTCATTGTGTTGCTCAGAGCGCGATTTATCACAATATGCTACACCTCGGGAATACCACCAAGGCAAATTAGACTCCGTTTGTGACAAAGGATAACAGATAATAATGATGAAGAGCGTTGCACAGGGAGCGCACAAAGGATATGAATGTGTGCATAGAGAGAAAATGCATGGCCATTGTTTGTATGTATTTAGCTTGATTAGTTAAGTTTCGAGGGACGTGTATGCCTGAGTTCAGAAGTGTAAACTTCTGTTGTTCATTGTTAGGAAAGTTCTCACTTTGTGCTGCCCATTCCCTTCACATGAGTAGCTCGAGTTGGGTAACTTTCTGTAATGTAAATCTTATGGGCTTCATACTTTTTTTTTATACATATTTGCCATTTCCTTAAATATTTCTATTACATACGAAAAATAGAAGATAAAATTAAAATTTCCGAACATATTGTAAATATTCATTTGAAAATAAGCCCAATTGCCACCATGGAAGGAACTTGATAGGTAAAAGCAATACCGAATTACGTGACAGCGAACTGTTACGAACAAGAACAACAAGTTTGTCATGCGAGTACAAACAGCACGGTCTATTGTCGTTTCCCGTCGTTCCCTCGCCTACAAACAGACGGTTTGGGCGGCAAGAGAGTCCTTGTGTGAAGACAGTCTAACGACGAGTTGTCGCAGCAAAAGTCTCCATGTGTCAACTAGCTCTATATAAGGATTGGATTAAATTTTCCTGAAAGTACTGAAAATTGTGAGCATTTTAAGTGTAAAAATATTTGTTGTTGTACTAAAGGATTATTCTTATATTTGCTCCATTTTATTTGTTTTGCTTATTATTTTCTCTTCTAAGTGAATTTGGCTGCGGTTGTTTGAATATTTCACTGCATTACTTTCCCTGGTTCCATTTGTAATTGAACTGATTTCGTCTCTTCAATATTGGGAATTTGATATTGTTGACACCTCGAAGTTTTTTGCTTCCTGCAATAAAGAAAGATGGTTGACAGTTGCTTCTTACAAAGCATGAATGTTTCTTTTATTATCTCGTATAAAAATAAGTGTTGATTTTTTCAGGGACCTAGTGTTTTATATTATCTGCATAATGTAGTATTGGTGTAATAAATTCTAAAGACCCATTTTGCCAATGATCTGCAGCTGTCTGTTGCCGAACCGGTACTAGTATATTAAAACTTTTCAATTTTATATACCATATATATACATTTTGACAGCTGTCAAATTACAACCTTGCGATGTTTAAAGCAAACTTATGCATTAAAATATGGTGCTCGTGTAGGTTGAGAAGCCCTTGAGGACAAAATATAATAGAATTATTGTTGGTCACAATGCGATGCCAGCTTCAAGTGGTTTTTGATAGGCGTTAATCGTATACTGTAGATCCATCACAATCGAGGAAAATTCTCCACACAGAGAAGAAACCAACATTACTTTCAAAGACCGCTAGAAAATGGCAAATAAGCAGATGTTTGAGAAGTTGAAAATTTTAAAAGTTTACAAATTTGAGTTGGATCATAAATTCTCCATTTTATCGTTGCTGACTGCAACCGTCAAATTTTCACTAAATCTAAATTTCTACCTTAAAAACAATTGTAATTATTGTAAAATTCTCGCATTAAAAATATCCATTCCAAACGCACTTATTATTATATAAATCGGACGATAGATGTCACAGTTACAGCCACTTCGATGAATGAACAAGAGTGCTATTGTTTAATTTTTACAAAGAGCAAATAAAACTATAAAATTGATGAAAACATTTATGGTTATGGTTGTATTAGTCATACTCAAATTTGTACGTGGTTTACATTATATAAGAATGGTCGTGAGGATTTAAATGACGACCCAAGGTTACATCGTCCAGAAGCTTGTTATCGTGCTGAAGTGGTTGAAAAAGTCTGTGCAATTATTGGTATCGATGCAAATTTTACTACGAGAGTGAAGCTACTATTTGGAGAATTTTAACTGAAGATTTGGGTAAAAGAATGATTTCTGGTGAAATGCTGGTGGTTTGACCGCTACACCCCCACAACACTACAACAACAGAAAAACTTCTACGTGTTGGAAAATGTTTACAATCATTCATCAAAAATTAGCAAAAGACAGCCTCTAACATCACATTTTGGCATCCAACTGTCATTTTGATACTTACATTTTATTGCGTTGGATACTTGTTTTGACATTATCGTCAACGTATTTCACATTTTTGCTTTAGCGAACGCATTTATAGTCGAATTGACACCAAACCCATTACAGTTGTAATGGCTTCGCTTATAATCATAACTTATAAGTTGGTTTGAATTAAGGCATTTTAAGAAAATAAAATTTTTTAACTATCCGGTTAACACACATACTCTAATGTCAGTGGTCTTAATCAAAAATTTTGATACTCGAATACAATATTTAGACATTAAATTTATATGTAGGCAATAGGTATCATAATTAGGTTCCGGCATATGTATATCAAAACACAAGAAACTTTAATAACTAAACATAAAAATCGCAATAATACCGTCCGGAGCTTCGAATTGCAACCGAAACTTTTTGTGAATTCGTATTTACTTATTTTTTGGGTATCAGAATAACTGTAAAATATCAATCGGGTTTTTATAATTTGTGTTCTATGCTCCTCAGTTGATAGCTCATATATTCAGATTGCTCTAGCCATATTTTTGACTTATCTATGATTTGGCGCTAACGCATATATATGCGCTTTATTTTTACCATGTATAACCTCATGCCATAAAAGCGATATATGTAATGCATAAAAATAGAAAAACTTAATTTAATTAAAAGTTACTTGCAATTAAATTTTCTATAATAATAGTACCGATTTTTTCACATTTTCATTTCAGGACGAAAACAATAGCACGTCTACACAACAAAACAACCCAAACTACACACGAGTATGCTTGTAAATAACAACAACAACCCTACAAATGTTACGGTAAAGAGCGAGAATAAAAAGGATTTGCAAATAAAATATTGAAAATCAAATGCAAATTGTAAATTTCACCGAACAAATAGTGCAAAACGTAGAAAAGCGCAGGAAAAGCCAGCCAAAGACTGCGCCAATCAGCGGTGAAAAATACGAAATACGTCGGAAAAATATCTAAATAAAAGCAATTTTCAATGGAAAATACGTAAATGCGAAGTGGGAACCCCGTTAAAAGCACACAAAGCGCATTGCCTTGCATTGGTGAAGTCAAAGCGAAATGTGTAAAAAATAATTGGCAGTGAATAAAAAAAAAGTGTCAAATACAAAGCCAAAATAAAAAGTGACGAGAAAAACGACGTGTGTGTGTGCACAACGCGAAGCGCAAAGCGAATGCGCGGCAGTGAAGGTTGTTACACGTGGAGCGCTATAGTGGCTTGTGGCTGCGACGGTTGATCAGGTTGATACGTTGCGGAAAATCCTTTGTTTTCACTTTGGCTTTCCGGCCAAAACTAGCAGCTATACAGGCGCACAAAATAAAAAAAAATAAAAATAAATTGAAATCATAAGCTCTCGGCAAATTTTAATGCAGTTAAACCGATGTGAGTCCACCACCTCATCTGCGCCATCTAAATACGTAAACACGCATAAGAACGAAATCGAATACTCGCATGCCTTTTATGGAAATACCCGCCGATTTGTCTAACAATAATAACAACAACAACAATTGTTAAAGTACGCCGCGAAAATTTAGTTGCTGCACACTGCCAACCAAGCGAAAGGCATATTTAGCGAAAAAACCCACGTCAACCGCGACCGAACGGCTGCCGGCAAACGCCACACTACAATCCCGATTTCATGATTTTCCACCGCACAGCACGCGCAACTGTTTAAGGCTAGCTGCCTAGTCGCCTGCCGCGTCTCGCTGTATTCTGTGTTTGTGTGGCTGCGGGAATTTTCGGTGCGTCGTCGCCGCCGTGTTTGTTGTGGAAATTTGGCAATTTCACTGGCACAACGGTGTGCACTTTAGCCTTGAAACCGCATAGCACACATTCAGGCGTTCGGCATTACACATGCCTGTACATATAAAGAACGCTTGAAACGCATTGTATAGTGCAGTCGGTTGAGCGTCGCTTAACTGTTGGTGTTTACCAGTAAATGCGCTTGGCACAACAATTTACGTACTAACGTTTGTAACGGATTTCGGTAATCAACGGCGCATAGCGCGTCTATCATTCAATTTAAACTTTGGAGACGAAGTAAAGTGTGTCGCGGTGTTTTTGCTGTGTTCTCTAACGCGTCGCGGTAAAACGTGTTGATGAACTGCAATTTAGTATTAACGCTCAAATACTTTTCTGTTGTTGCTGTTGTGAAACAATAATGTCATCAAAATGTGGATTAAACCTGATTTTCGTGTCGATCATTTTCATTATCATCGTAAATGGTAAGTTGGAATCGTATTTTGCACACGTTTAGTATTTGTATTTCAGCGTATTTCATCTTAGTATAGGTAAATATGTATGAGTGTTAGGTATATATATATATATATACTGTGAGTGTAAAAATGTGCTTAAATGCTATATAATAGCTTAGTACAAGTATATATATATATATATATATACTGTGAGTGTATATATATATATATATATACTTGTACTAAGCTATTATATAGCATTTAAGCACATTTTTAATGTTCGTATAATTTTCTTTTAGTTGTTTAGAGTACTGAATAATTAATAGTAAGTCAAGCGTCAAATCCTACGACATATACATATATCAAAAAATAACGTGAATTTTTAAATTTCGTGGGTTTAGAGAGTCCAAATGTCAAAATATTATTTTTATTATATCGATATATGTATGTACATGTCCCTGAAGTACGATAAAATTCTCAGCTGTATTCATAGCTCACTTTATCTGTATTAGCCGCTAAGGCTAGACGCGTTTTTATGAGCTTGGCGATTTCCGCTTGTTAAAACAAACTTAAAAAAAAATCAGTTTTATTAAATTTTTTATTTTTTTGTCACACGGTGAATTGTTGTAATGCAACTGCCCCTTTTTCTTCTTTAAAACAAGATAAAACGTTAAATTTGTTTGGCAGCTATGCGATATAGTGATCTGATCTGAACAATTTCTTCGAAGAATACATTGTTACCTTAGGCAATAACTCCAGCCTAATTTCGTGAAGATACCTCGTCAAATGAAAGAGTTTTCCATACAAGCACTTGATTCTGATCGATTTCCCACTTTAACCCGACTGATGCTTAATACCCGTGACCAAGGCAAAATAGGAGAAGACTTCTCGCTGGAGTTTTGAAGTCCGTCTATATTGCGCTGAAGTATGGAAGAAAGCACTGCCTTTTTTTTCCATTTACGCCACTTGTGCACTCACAGTATGCGCAGCGCTTCGTACAGTATCGAAGGATCACGTCCTTACACCCATTAGATCTCTTCGCCAAAGTGATGAAGAAGCCACCCAGAATCTTATAAGAAAATGCTTGCGCAAACACGGTGAAGAGCTGGCCAAGACCATGCGTCAGTCGAAACGGACGTTGGACACTCCAACTGATCCCCAACACATGGCGAGGTAGATTTTTACTTAACCCAAATTGTCACAGACATGGCTGTTTTAAATCTGATTTAATACGTTTTAAACACGAAATATGCGAAGGCGATACAATTGAGAATGTAGAGCAGACTGACATGGGTTCAGGCCGTCTTTGTGATCCTTGGATGGACTCAAATGCTATATCTCACGAACCAATTGCCCGACAGCTTTGAAATTTATACATGAAGTTTGACTTTGAAAGCTAGATATGATTAGTAGTAATTGGTTTTATTTATTATTGGTTTCTTTAGGAAATCTTTTTCCGCGACACAAAGCATGAAGTTTTCCAGCATAAGAGTATAATCTCTAAAATTGAAAAAAAAAATTATTTTCTGGATGTAAAAGTACATATGTATATGAGATAAATGTGAGCAACAGATGACATATTATATACATTAGACGTTGTTATTGGTAATATTCATTAGTAATCAGAGTTGAGCAAAAATATTATTAAAAAAATTCCAACTTGATTAGTTTACTGCAAAGCGATTCTTATATAACAGCTACTTTCTACAATACTCCAATTTATGTAACGGAAACGAAACCATTATTTTATTTCGCCAGCATTTTCCATTTCGCCAGCATTTTCCCAAATTGTTTGGAGACCAGAGACCAACTTAATAAGCTGGGCTTACTATTGATGCTGTAAAATGTTATTCAAATTAATCTGATCTAAAAGCATATCAAAAAAACGTTACGACTGTTATTTTGAGGAAGAGGTATTATGATAAATGAATAGAAGAAGAGAAGTCCAGCTTAATATCACGCAATAATTGCTATAGAAAATATATGAAAGTGCTTACAAACATGGCTTAAGAAAGTGTTCAGTCAACCCATTCTGCTGTTGTGGTTTGGAAAAAGTATAATTCTATAAAAATAAACTCAACTACTTATGTGATTATATATTCACAACTAGTGAATTGTATATGAACTTCTTTTTTTCTTGATAATAACGTATTTTTATAATATCCGGCATGAATAATATAAAGCATATGAATAGTACAGCTCTTATCTTACAAATACTCAACAAGTATACTGTTAAAACAAGTATAATTTCATGGTAATTGTGTTTGCATAAGATTTTCTCCACTCTTCTGTACTCATTTAGTTGTGTATTTTATTTATAATATCAATTAACAACTAAGCCTGTATTTATACTTAAATGACGCACAATTTGAAACGTAGTTTGAAAAATAGTGACAAAAAGTATATTTAACATAATAAAAGTATTTTGTGGCAAAGATATGTACTTTAAAGTATATATTAAATATAAATATATATAATTATATAAGTATATGTACAATAATAAGTGAAGATTTCGGAAAGAAAAGAAATTAAAAGGCCTTATTATTAATTTTTATACACTTGCAACATGTTGCTGCAGAGTATAATAGTTTTGTTCGCCTAACGGTTGCTTGTTCACCAAAAACTAATCGAGATAGATATAGGGTTATATACTCATATATAAATGATCAGGCTGACGAGACCAATTGAAGTCCGGGTGACTGTCTGTCTGTCCGTCCGTGCTACCTGTAACTTGAATAAAAATTATGATATCTTGATGAAACTTAGAACACGTGTTCCTTGACACCATAAGAAGTTTGGTATCGTATATAGGTGTAATCGGACCACTGGCACGCTCACAAAACGCCATTAATCTAAATCCTATAAATTGCCATAACTAAGCACCAAATTAAAATATAAAACTAATTCGGTACAAAGAATCACATTAAGAAGGGCATTTGCAGTTTGAAAATATTTAAAAGGTGGGCCTGGTCCCGCTCCTTGCTGCGACAGTTGAACGTGAACTAAAAGTGCGATAAATTAATAAATAAATACGTCAGAGAGTTTAAATTTTACATCTAGAACAAGGAAGCTGTATAGGATCCAATGTCTAAATTATCCGGTACTGCTCGACCAATTTTCACCAAATTTAGTAGATATCAATGGTACGGTGTAAAAACGGGCACAATCGGACCACAGCTACGCCTACTTTTCATATAGCAAAATTTTAAATTTCATCTGATTTTTTCAATTTTAAGTATACACATCAAGAATAAATGAAAATAGCGAGATAAAACTTTGAACAAATAGTGACTATGAGAAATACCATCTAAAAACTGCTTAAGACCCCAGTCAGCGAATATGGGGACTCCGGTTCCTGGTTCTTTTTGCCGAAAATAACGATCAATCTGTGAGATATATTTTTTCAATTCGGAGGTAGTCAGCCTGTATGCCAAAAATCGATTGAAGGGGGTCAATATTTCCCTGAACCCCTATATACCTAATCAAAATATTTCCGAACTTCCGGTTTACTTTATACCGCATAAATCGGCCAATATGTGAGCTATCTTAATGAAATTAAGTGGCTGTGTTTTTATATTAATGGTGCATCTTTCTGTCTAAAATGAATCGGATAAAAACTTGTCCTAGTTTCTATATAACTTATATCAGAATTTTCAAATATCCGGTTGACATTACTCCATATATATTGGCGCTGATATGTGAGGTACCTTAATAAAACTCAGGAAGCATTTTCTTCTGTTAATAGTATCTTGTATTGCCAAAAATAGGTGAAATCGGGTCAATACTACGCCTATCTCCCATATATCTAATGTTAGTTTTTCTAACTTCCGCTAACTGAGCGCTTGTAGAAAATATATTTATTTTGTTTGTTTTCGCCAAATACTTAAATTTTTAAATTTTTTTTCAAGAGCTGTTTTTGTTTATATATAAGGCCCTATCAACAATTTAGTTCCCAAAACTTTAATAAATCGATAGGTTATATCTTTAAAAATAACACACCAAATTTTTATCCATATCTCAAAGAGTTTTTGAGTTACAGCCTTATAAAATGTAACCGCTCGGGTAAATTCAACTTTTTCTAAGTGCCACAATTTTCTAAAATGTTGATGTTTTTTTCGTCCGAAAATCGCTTTAATTTTAGGCTGGCACTCTAAACGTGCCCCTTAACAATCTTTAAGTTGATTTTGGACAATCAAAAATGTGTTTATTTTTACTGCGCATTATTCGAGTACAATTCTCAATCTTTAACTAGCTAAAATTTCATCACACCATCTACTTATACTAGGGCATCTACATACATTTGCCAGTCTGATTTATTGTTATCAGTTGCTTGTTCGGTTCGACACTTTTTCTGCTAAGTAAAAATACCAATTACTGATATTGTATAACTAAAACTGACTTATAACAGTTTTCCAAATATTTCAAATTATATTTCGTACTGTTATCTCTGCAAATAAATAAAAAATGAACGAAAAACTGATCTTCTAAAAAGCACAAAAAACTAATAATAAATAGTATCCCAAATCTTAACAACAAACCGGTTTCAAAGGTGTAACTAATTTTTTGTTGTTTGCGAGCGCAGTCTACGGAAAGAATAACATGAATCATACGAAATGGGAATAAACGAAAATGAAAATAAAAGAAGAATATCTCCCCCAGAAGAGAAGGCTTACGAAACATGGAAAGACCAAGAAACGTGCTAACCGTACATTGGACAAAAGAAACCACACACAGATGACTCGGTCTCACATTCGTGCACACATACAGATTCAGGTATAAATGACGTGTGTTTGTATACCCCCTCGAAGTGTGAATTTGAAGACAAAGGCATTTCGTTAAGGAAGGAAAGCAAGAAGAATCTGTTTTTTTTGTGGGTTAACTTGAGTGTTGTTTCTTTATCTGAAGAACAGTGTGAGATTACTTGCACTTGTGTGTACGTGAGTGTATGTATGTATGTGTAGGCAGTTTGGCACAATTATTGGCAACACTACAAACAGGTTAAGAACGCTCAGCTGTCTGTAGGCTGAAGG